TTCGCAACCAAAGATGGAAAATAATATTTTAAATCTTGTTGTACGTAATCGGCCAACTGAACGCAAAATTATTTTGTTAAAGAAATTTCTAACAAAGAGTATGATCTTACCTCGGCTGCAAACTCTACGCCTGTTGGACCACCACCAACAATCACAAAATGTAATAAACGTTTACGATTTTCCTCTGATTGACCAGGTGACATAGCAGACTCAAAGGCATCACTAATAGCTGAACGGAGTCGTCTTGCGTCTGTAATTTCTTTCAAAAAATGAGCGTGCTCCTCTACACCAGGTGTGTTAAAAGTATTATTTGCTGACCCGATAGCAACAATCAATAAATCATATTTTATACTACATGCTGGTCGAGTATGTGCTGAATCATGGACTTGTCTTGACGACGAATCATCATCTATTTCGTCTTTATTACCGACATTTAATATTTGACCATCATGTCTACTGTTACGACATGTAACAATTTTTTGTTTTGGATCAATATCAACACATTTGTTTTCAATAAATTTAACACGTGGACTAACTAGTGATCGAAGAGGTTCAACAACAGATCGTGTTTCAATTGTACCAACACTAACAGACCTGTTTCATAAGTAAATGACAAATGAATTATTGTTTAAATCGAGTGCACATAACAATGTCTACGTACGGTAATAATGGTGTCATTACAAAATAATTGTTGGGTGATATACAGACAACGTCATATTTTTTTACATCAATATTCCTAAGAACTGATATGGCTCCCCATCCTACAAAAATATGAGAAGAAAAGTACTCATTCGCTTTGATAACGTACGCTTAAGTTCTGTGATATAACTTCGTCAGAAATTCCGGATCCAATCTTCGAAAGAGACTGAATTACCCTTTCCTATATAATTCGAGTTGAACATCGAAAGCGTATGAACTGAATCGTTAAACATTTTGTTCCTATTAGTCTTTCTTTTCACATGAATCGGTAGTCACTCTGTATCATTTCAGTACTCGATAATTGTAAAAGCTAATTTCAAATTAGCCTATGGTTACACATTTTCTAACGTTCCAGCGAAAAAGTGAGTCCCTAACATCACAATCGTATGCAAAGTATTCGTCACATCTGTGGGAACCCAAGGCTTGTATATCTGTCATAACACAAACAGAACACGAATGAGCAACCACTGTTGGTTTCAAAGTAGAGTACATTCTCAAATAATACGACTAACAAACGATCAGATTTTGCCATTATACAGGGATAGCTGTCATAACTGATATATGAAACGATCAAGTTCAAAATCCTGCAAGACGGAAGAAACGCTTATTGATCCCAACCGAGTGAATTGTTTGTGGTTAGAAACAGCACTCATATCTCGTGCTAGATCTCCTCATTTGTCTTTTACTTGCACCAGTTTTGTAGAGAATTTCTAAAAATCTAGAGGATAAAATAGTAACTGTGTACTTTTCTAACCTTGTCAAAATACAACTTAATAAAGTCAAATATTTTCTAAAAGCTGTAGATCCTCTGATCAGATCCTGAACGAGATTCGGAGGATTTCTTCTAACCGCAAGCGCTCTCACGCCAAATAATTCTGCCACGGCCGAACGATGATGCATCGAAATGTCGAGTTCCATGGATGAGCAGTACAGATATTGGTGAACGTCTAGCAGAGTTTTGAATCATGAGTGTTTATGATCAGTTGGTTGGAGATCCATGAGCGTTTGCAGGATTTTGAACTTGATTGTTTCATGCATCAGCTGTCGCAACGATCCTCTGTATAATCTTAAAACCTGCATCCTCTAATCGTTCTTTAGTCGAACTATTTAAGAAAATCCAGACTTCCACTTGATGTGAGCTTTGCAATGTTTCTCATATGTCTCTGACCAGCGCTCTGACAGATATTAAATACGATAGTTGTGCCGTTTGATAATTTCGTACTTACTACATAAAAATAAGTGTTAGACATTACAATGTGAGTACCTGTTCCTAGGACAACAACGCGTGGTTTTTGTCCAGTGTGATCTAACTCAAGCATTTCTCTGCGCCATTGAGTACGCCTATAAGCTCGATATGTATAAAATGAACCAATTCCAACAAGTGTTACCAGCAAAGTATTACGTAAACGACGTTTCCATTTGGCACCTGAATAAAAAAGTTAAAAGTTTATCAGAGAGCATGAGTTTATATAAAAAATGTCTGAAAACTATCATACGTAGATAATACTAGATTATCGTTTATAACGTTAACGTTTACCTTGTAATGGTATAAGATTTCTGATTGATAACGATCGGTGGAATACCAGTGGTGAGGAATGCCGAATTATAATAGAAGGTGAGAGCATTTTAAGCTAATGATCTGAAATGAACATAGTATCTATTTTACATCTGTGACTGTTCATTTTCAGGTTACAGCTGAAAGCAAATACAACACATAAACATTGTTCACCATTTACCGATGACTGTATGTGGAAGATAACCATAAAAAACACTTGGTAAATTGATCGCAAATGCCAACCAGTTATTCGAGGGGTAGTTCGAGTGCTCGAAAATGTGTTTTCAATGGGCCTGCGATAAGGGCCTATTTTCGAGTACTCGCCGCATCCCTCGAACGACTTTTTTCATCTGCATCGGTAAGACAATAGTGTTTTTCGAAATGTATTTGTTGGATCCGTGCTTCTTAGGCTTTCTAAAGAACAGTAAAGAAGTTAATATATAGCGCGAATCCTTGAATTTACTTGGGCTGAAGAAGAGTGAATGTTTCTTCGCTGGTTATATACAGTAAAAACGAAATGAACAATTGTACGATATTAGAATGTGTCTTAAGACTAGTACCATAGTCTCAAACATACGTTTTTCTAGGTGAAAGCTGTGCTATCAATAATTCGAGAGATGAGAGAAGTTGAGTATGTACGAGCGTGCGCCATAACCGATCTGAACATTATTCAGGCGATACGACAAATTTGGATCAGTCAAAATCATGGGTGTATCCGTTCGATGTAAAACAGCTTCCCGGATGGAACAGCTGTCGGGGAATAGCGCTCTTTTAGCTTCGAATTGATTCAAGGCAGAGAAAGTCCATAAAGCTTTATCAGACTCTGTAGCTATCAGATGAGGTATAAATACATTGAAAGGTTCGTGCAGCCATAGAGGTAATAAGTTTATACTTTGTGCTTTTTTCTTGGCGAAGAATGCTTCTATACCAAAAAATTCTTCAACTGACGAAGTTTTCATGTAACACTTAGATATATAGATATATAAAGAAAAGAAAGAATAAGTATACCTTTGTTATGTCCTTCGGAGAAAGAAGGATGATAACGTCACTTTACATAATTACATAAAACTCCTTTATGTGATGCTCCTTATCAACCAAACACGTGCCTGAGTTATGCAAAGTGGTCGTAAAGGTCATTCAAAACTCCACAACACAATGAGAACTCCGAAAGGTTTGTACTTCACGAAGTTGACGCATGCATAAGAGTAAGAGACAAAGAACCCTCACATACAAAGGCAAAACCTAAGTGTATATGTTTAGATCTGTCCTACCTGACTTGCTTTGTAATCAGGACTATCAATTTCTTATGAAAAGTATGTTTTCGTTTATTAGAAATAGATTTTTTGGAAAAAATGAGCGTAGTGGTAGCGATGGTACAGCTGATTATGGCGACTTTTTCGGCACGAAGCCCAGTTTTTGGACAAAGTTTCACGGCTCATTTTGTAGAGAATTGAAAGCTCTAAAAGGTGTCATAAATTTTACACTGCTCAACTTAACAGTCGAGATGCAATTACGTTTTACACGAAGAATTTCACTTTTCAAAATCATGACTTTTCGCTTCATGTGAATTATAAAAATTCTCTCGTAAATTTTTCTCGTATAAAGAATGAAAAAGTAGGTCGGTCAATGCAGTTTTATATGCTCTTTCGAATGAGACATTGCTCGAACAGAATGAAAAAAAATTGATGGAGTTATTTGCAAAATACTAGAAACAGTGCTTTTTCGAGCAATCTTCGAATGACTTCACGGAGCTTTTCTGTAAACTCAGTCGAAATAAGGTCTAAAAGTCTAAAAGATTTTTTCATTTCCATAGTTTCATGTGTAGAATCGAAGCCTCTTATAAAACGTATAGGTTGTAAATTTTCAAGTGACTGCTTTATGACGGCATACTCAATCCACTCACGAATCCTCTCTTAATAGTTTTAGTTAAAATGAGAATCATTTCCTCAAAACGACTGATTACTGTTTTCTTTTTTTCTTTATTCTGACTTACTTTAGCGGTACAGAATCAGAAAGTATACTACTATATTATAATTATGTTTCAAAATATGCCAAAATAAATCTCGAATGAGTTCAACAATTCGTCAATATGCTTAACAACGCCGTAAATATAATTGAACAATACTTCGCTTAAATATGCTAGCAAATTCTATCGTATCAGTAAAACCAAGAATGTTGTAAATTTTGATACGCCAAAATAAATGTTCTTCCGCCTACATGTACACGAATCAATCTTAAAATAAATAACAGAGATGTGCAACATAATTGTATTAATAAGTTTAAACACTCTCGATTAAGGTTACGAGTAACTCGGTGGAAGTTCTTGAAGATGGGAAGAGAGAGAGAATTATTTTCTCCTAAAGAACAAAAGGCGCCGGACAACAATCTGTTAATGAATATATGAAAAAATGTAAGTCTTAGGTCAAATGTCGTCTGCTTTTGAAGCTTATGACGCCGGATCGAGTGCTATTTTTGGTAAAAGAACGCCCCATGTTGTCGAAACCGGTGGTTAACTACGACTATTTTAAGAACCGGCGGTTATTTCAGCTGAAACCATAGCAACACAGCAGGTTAAACCAACGGTTAAGCTCACAATTAACCGAAAAAACGATCGGTCAACCGTTGGTTCTTGAAATAATTGGGCATAGTTCTCTAGATCATGTGGTGCACATCTCGCAAAAAAGATCACCAAAGAAGAAGAAAATATTGAATTAAACGAGGACGTTCCCTCTGTCAGTGCGTTAATTATCTCTGAGATATTGGTGCATAGAGGTCAGGAATAAGGATAACTCATGCGTAATATTATTTCAGATATACCTGAAGTGCAGAAGAAAAGGCTTTTTTCTTCTGAATAACAACTGACGCCGTACTATTAATGAATACATGGAAAATATCTAAGTCCAAAAGTCATTTTTCATCCACTTTTGGATCCTGTGCCGCCAGATCCAGAGGGATTTTTGAACAAAGAATGCGCAGTGGTCAATTTTCAATATCCAGAGAAGCATTTTCCGTTTTCAGTACTATTCTACGTTGCGTAGTACTCTAGATCATGTCGTGCAAAATACAATGAATTAAAATAATATAATAAATGGAAAAATTTGGTCATCGATGGAATTTTTGAAAGATTTAATGGAAATACTGATTAAATTGTTATGGATATTGCTTAATCGATCGGTCATTCATTAGATGAAAAATCAATTTATGCCTCACATCGATTACCAATTAGCAATAAAAATATATCTAGACCAATTGTAGTTGGTTTTCTACATTATCTTGAGCCAATTATTAAAAATCGACAGAAATTACATGCACATCAACACTATAAAAATGTATTTATCAATGAGCATTTATCGTCATTTAATAATCAGTTATTTCAATATGCACGACAAAATCTAAATAAGCATAGTATCCAAACTACAAATGGTAATATCTTTTACATTGGCTCGAACAATAAAAAGCACAGAGTTCAATAGTTCTCGGATATTGATAAATTGACTCGTACACAGCACACAGGTTATTATAATACTGCCACTCATTGCTTCGTAACCGACGTTGTTCCCTGCTACTATGCAAAGTTCTCGGCTCACAGTATTATTCAGTCCTGTTATTTTTATCACATATAGTACCTTTATTCTTGTACGCTGTTATTATTTCTGTCTTCTTGTTATGCTTCTTTATGAAAACTGACCTGCTTCTGCTATCTGTTGAAACAGAGAACTTTAGTCGTCTATGGAAAGTTTTTTTTTCTCTTCATACAAAAAAATTCTGTTGTACTTCTTCTATTCAGAAAACATATGGTTGTTCTCTCTCTATTACTGCAATTTTTGTTTTTTTTTCTTCTTTTTCTTTGCTATTTTCCGTTATCTTCTAGTCAACTATATCATAGAGTTACAGGGGTTTATACAATACATCAATCACGTCAGTGTAGACGAGCATGCCTAGCTTGAATAAAAAACCAGTTGCTGTTAGTGTGACAAATCCAATGTAAATATTTGTTCTGAATAGGAGGAGTATAACGCCAAAATTCGAAAAGTACTATGATGAGGTTTGATCTTCTACGCGCAGTGTCAGAAAGGTTAAAAAAGTGTGTCTGTCATTTGAATCGGTTTTCGACGATAACTCCGAATATGATATTTTTATTGCATACGTAATGAGTACTGATGGAGAAAATAGAGAATTACGGGCAGAATTCCGATTTTTTTGCTCCTGATTCAGAAAAATTGTACTCTATCAGGAACGAAAAATATTTCGAAAAAAGCGCTTCATACTTTTGTTCTAAATTGAACGGCGAAGCGAATGGTTTATAAAACTTTTCTCTACATCTTAACCAAAAAGCTGCACGTGGCTTGCCAGATGAGTGCCG